ATAGTAAAGATAGTGGTTAAAGAGAGCAGTGTTAGAGGTGTGGGTGTTTGGGCGGGATATCATAAAGCTTTCTAGTTTTCTAAAGATTTAATTTTGCTGAGGCCAGCATGCTGGGGAAAAACCTGTGATACCAGCAGGTAATCTTATATACAGGAAGCTGATGACTTTGGTCTTGCTGTGTAATTAACTAACTGTTCTGTGAGAACTGTTCTGTTCCTTGGTTCTATTTGGTATATTTTCCCAAGTAATCTATATTACCATTCTTCTAGGATGTTGTCAAGTTATAGACATACTTTAGTGCTGACTGCCTCAATGTACCCTTAGAGAAGAAATCTTTTAATCTCTTAGTGTTCACATTTATAATGTTGGCAACTTAAAAACTGTAATCTGATGTTCCAGTAGTTTAACATTTTGAAAAACTGAATCACCCAAGTTGGGAAGATTCTTAGTAACTTATTTGAACATAAGAAGTGCCTGCTTGCCCTGAGAGAGCACTCAGTATTTAGAAGGTCACACCTGAGCTACTGTCTGTGCATCGGTGCAGTACCTGTATTTACATGCAACTTCATTTCTGACTTTTCAATGTACTGATTTATAGCAAACCTCAGAATTAAATTGTCTGTGGTGAAAAATTTCTGTACTATAATTTAACAGTGAATTTGATGGACACATAAGAAATACCTTGGGGGTTGTGTTTTATCACAACAATATAAATACATTTTTATTTGGTACTCTGGGTTATTTAGTCTCCTTTGGACCACAAATAACAGTAGAACTTGTATGAGTCTTTTCAATACCCTGATTTTGTTGTAGATTTTTTTTTTTTTTTTTTTAATTTTTTTCAAGGTACCTATTACTTCCATATATACAAATCACATTAGGAAGTACAGCATAAAAGCTGGATTTGTTATTGACCCCATGCATATAGAAATACAGTTTTTCTGGCATGGAATTACCACTGCACAGCAGGGCATGATAGATAGAGGAATGTGTAGTGCACAGTACTTCCTGTTGTTAAAATAATTAGGAATAGAATTACTGGAATTCAGAAAGTTTTGAGAATTGCTATCCACAAATTAGAGTGATTCTGTGGGTTTCTGATTTACCTTCTTTGGACAGACAGAAAACTGAGAATCTTTTTTAAAAAAAAAAAAAAGTCTATGGCAGTGTTCTCTGTTTCTGTACTAGGTGAAGGACAGTCTGGGTTTACATGATGTTACCTTTGACAAGCAGTTTTGACCTTTGTTTCCAAGTGTAATCAATTTTCTAAAAATAATTGCCATGGTAGGTTTGCGTGCTCAGAGACAGAGTTAGTGTAACAAAGTCATCAGTAGCTGGTAACAATTTTGAAGTAAAAGATTGTGCTAATTTATAGTTCTCATGTGATGGTAAACAAATACCTCACTTAAACGCCACCCACCCTTTTTTTAATACATTTTCATACTTATCTCTGAAAGGAAACAATAAGTTTGTTGCTCTTTGATCTGTCATAATATTTCCTTGGACAGTCATTTACGTATGTAACAGGTTTTCTTTTAGAGGTTTCATCTTGTTTCTGTATTTATTTTGATTTATGCCTAATAGGAGAGAAAGCTGATCCAATAGTCTAGGCGCTCTGTCAATGTCATTTTGACGTATTCCTCTGAACTGTGAGATAGATAATACCTTGATATTGCAACAAATGCCATATGTTCTCAATAGCCCAAGTTAAAAGATTGCCTGTATGTGTTCGTAACATTCTCCAGAGATGGACTTCTACAGGTCTGGGCACAAACATCTTAAGATTACAGCCTTTCATAAAGAGCCTAGAGTACCTTGCAGCCACTTTCTACCCCGAAACATTACAGCTTTAGGGCTTCTACTGTATAATGCATTTTTATCTCAGTGTGAATAGCGAGGTCATGTCTGAAGTGAAGTCTTAAATGGCTTGGACTGAGGTAAGTCAAAGTTGAAAGTAATGTGAAATGATTACAGACATACTAAAGAAAACAAGGTTGTAGCTTTGACTTAATTGTCAAAATTATTTTGAAATGTCTACGCCTTAATGTTACTAAAGTGTACTTAATACTTTAAGTTTTTTTCCTCATATCCATGTTCTGATTTTTTTTTTTTATTTACAATTTGATTCTTTCAGAATTGGCACCTAGATACTGTTATTTGGTGACAGTGTATGTATTCAAAAGTATATCGCATGAGTGGCATGTCAGTGTTAACAGTAAACTATGAGTAATTTTGCCCTGTATGAGCTTCTCTGCCCCTAGATATTTATTTTTTCCATCTGTTAATTGACGTAGAGGAACTTGCTACCTGTAGTTGCCTGTAGTAGGCTGTGATAGGCTACAATAGCACTAGCACTGTGACTTCCAACTAATGTTACTTGAACTCATGGTTATGGCACAAACCAAGACTGCTGTGGAGAAATCGCTTCCTGTGATACTGGGCCCAATTGCATTTTGCTTAGACACCTGTGTTTTCTGTGGTTTGGGTCAAAGTAGCTGTTTCTTACCATGTGAAATATGTAAATGCTACTGACTTAACAATAATTAAATTGTATAATATATGTCCAAAGCCTCATGTACCATCTGTAATTTTGCTTCTTTCAGAGTAGCTTATTGTCTTCTTGCAGTAATTAGAGTACTTTGCCAAATTACTTTGTAAACTATGTAATTGACCTTCTGAGTTACAAAAAGGGCATAATTTTTACTCTGAAGAGTTTTCTGGTTTGGGTTGTGATGTGTCTTTTTTTTATTCTTTTTTTTAATTGGGTCAGATGTTTCCAATAAGTATTTTTTTAAATAATACAGTAAAGGCTCATTGGTTATGGCCCGGTTGGTTCAGCTAAACAAGTATTTCCTGGGTTTGTTTCTTTGATCTGCCGATGTCAGTACATGTGCTGTATAGATAGGTGAGACTTATTAATGCAGCAGAATGAACACTGCTGTTCTTAAGTTGTGTAACAGCTTTCTGAGGCCAGGGAAGAGAATACCAAGTGAGCTTTCCCTAAAAGCACTCTCTCAGGATTGAGTTGACTTTACGCATTATAAAAGGAAAGAAATGAACAAAGTAGAAAAATGGAAAAGTGATTTCCATGTTCATCTCATAGATGAAATTCAAGAAATTAAAAAAGAAGCTTGAAATAAGTTTTGAATTGTAAACGATCTGCAGTTGTAAGACAGAACTTTCTTCTTAGAAAAGCTTACATTCCTTTTAAGGTGGACCAGATGAGAGTTAAACGAGATAAAGCATGAGAAAATGTTTTATTATTTTTCCTCAGTAATATGATTCTATGATTTGATAACTCATTATTGGCATACAGACAGGCACACAAATTGTGTTCTTCCCCCACCCGCCATTTATTTTTTTAGTCAGCTAATTTTCTTCTAGCTATTTTGTGGGAACGTATTGTGAGTGAAATGCATATATGGGGAAGCTACTTGCACTGTGTGGCATTTCAGTAAGAAAGGGCTTGTATGTGTGGGGCAACGGAGAAGAAGGAACTTTCATAATGACTACATGCCTGTTTATTAGTAGAAGGAAAACCTGTCTGATATGAATATTGAGGACAGTTGGCTGTCCCTACTTGCACAGCCAAATTGCACAATACCTGGTGTTAGACATCTTAACCTTTACCAGACTTCATCATTTCCGCTGCAGAGTTGGTTCATATGACTAAGAAGTAATTCATGATGTCCTAAATTGAAATAAGCCTTTTTGCTCAAAAGTAGGAAATAAGAACATCGTGAATGGATTACTCTGTAATGGCCTATTAAAACTTTCCATTTTATGGAGGGAGAATTAAATAAAGTGGGGTTTTTTTGAGTAACACATTGTTTGTACATAATAGCATAATCTGGGTATGACATTTTTGTAGGAGACATGTTTAATCATGTTTTTGGTTTAAAAACATGGGTTGAGAAGGCAAAAGTAGGACTTGGTTTCTGGATTATTAATCTGTTGGTTGACATCAGTGGAGTTTGGGAGAATTAGGTGCAGATTAATGGCGAAGAAGAAGAATGCGATGAATACCAGGTTAGCAGTGAGTTTATTTCTACTTCTGCTTATAACATGGGTTATTTTTTTCTATTGGTTTAGCGAAGTTGCATCATTTAAGTTTTATGTGCTCTTTGTCTAAGAAATAAGGATGTTAATATTTTCAGAGTTTTTAACTCTGAGCAAAATGTTACTGGAGTTTTCCATTGCTTTACAGTAGTTGCTTTGGGTTCCAGGTTTGGATGCATGTGTTTCAAGTTTCTTGGAATATGTTTCTTGAGAGGATAGCACTTCTTACTGTACAGAACTGCACTCTTAGGAAAAGTCTGAAAGCGGATGTTTATTGAAGTTAGTGGAAGGACTGTGCCATCTTAGCTCAGTTTTTCATGCTAGCATTTTTCTCTTGCAGACACAGTGTGTATGTGAGTAAGAGTTAGCATTCCAGTGAAATGCAGGTGTTTAGTATTGCAGAAGTTGTCCAAAAAGTGCTAATTTAGTCCTGTCGAATTTGGCTTTTTCAGTAGAAGAGAAAGATGTTTTTTTTTTTTTTTCATTCTTTCTCTGTTTTCTGATGGACATGTTAGATTGTGCATACAAAATAGTCACCATTGACAGAACTTACAGTAAGAAAATCTCACTATAAACTTCAGAATTAATCTTTTAAATATAATGTGTATCTTTATAGAAAAAAAAAAGTACCAAATCGTAGTTTAATGTATAGTGAAAACTGTCTGCTGTTTTAATTTATATAGACCATTTTATTGCCTTAGACCCATTTATTGACTTAGGTAACAAGCTTAATAAAATTCATGCTAAATCTTTGACATGCTTGTTAAAATATTCCTGATTTGTAAACATTGTTAAGTATCTTTTTATTGCATGCTGAAGCAGAAATATGCATATTACAGTAAGCTGTAAAGGCCAGACCATGGTATCTTAACTGTGTGTAACAAATTCATCTGCCTAATGTTTTCTCTTTCCTTTTTTTTTTTTTTATTTGTTTATTTTAGGTTGGTTGGAATACTGCAAGAGATTATTACACATTTCTTTGGTCACCTATGCCAGAAAATTATGTGGAAGGATCAACTGTTAACTGTGTGCTGACTTTTCAAGGTGAATATAAAGCAGTATCTACCTGTATTTTCCAGCCTAAATAGCTGTTTAAATATTTATGTTCATTACAATGCTGAGGCTTGAGAGTTCTAGACTTTTACAAACATGAACTGGAAGAGAATTTTTCATAGTTCACTGTGTGAAATTCAGTCTTATTTCAGATGTGAAAGAAGTTTTAAAGGAAGGTATGTGACTTAATATGTTTTTACATAGTAATGGACAATATTCATGACTGATAGAGAAGGATTGCTGGAAATTATTAAAATATAGAAGGTGACTTTGCCAATCAGCAGGGCTTTTTAATTTTGGCATCTCTTACCACACTGTGTCTATGTTGTCTTTAGTCTCTGAACTTTAAAATCCTTAATGTAAAGTGATTCTCATCAAAGAATAAATAATGTAGATGATGGCTTGGTGAAAGCTCAGATTAGTCAGATTTGCAGAGGACCTTTTGACAGTGAGGAACTGATGAAAATAACTCAAGTTTTTAAGAAAAGAATAAAGAACAAACCAAAATATTACACGACTGTACAAATCCAAAGTATAACTACATTTTTCCCATCTGTGTGGGAGATCAGATCCCCTCCTTCCTCCTCACAATCTCAAAAAAGGTCTAGTAGGATAAGTGAACAAGGCACAACAAGGAAGATCAAAATTAAGAAATAGGTTCTGTATAAAGGTGTGGAGTTGCAACACTCATTAAATATAAAAAGAGGCAGTGGCCATGGACTGTGGCCTGGGAGGTTTATGTCTGACATTAGGAAGAACTTCTTTACTAAGGTGGAGTAGTGCAGCACTTGAACAGGTATGCCTGGTTTGGAAGAATGGGAATTTCACACAGTTGCTTAGACACAACCACGGTAGTCTCAGACTGGTGCTGACAACAGTCTCTTGAGTGGGAAGCTGGACTAGGTGAAGTTCAGAAATTCTGCCAGGTTTTTCAGCCTAGGAGAGGAAAATAATGGGAAGTGACCAATATCTCTAAATTCAGCTACCCATGGCATGAGTGCATTATCCAGTGTTCATACTTAAAGAAACAGGAACTATCAGTGTAAGCTACCATTGACAGGTTCAAAACTTAGACAGAGATGATACTTGTGTAATACAGCCAACATGCAGAACTTCCTGCCACAGAAAGAACATTACGACCTTCAGAAATCTATATGTATTTGAAGTTGAATGTAAAAAGAACATCTCCATTAAACTTGTTTAATGCTTTTCTGCTTACTAACAGAATTTTATGTACGATCTTACGATCTTTTTTTACTTCCCAGAGTTGGTTTTATTCTTTGTGTGTGTGTGTTTATTGCTTAAGATATATAGGAAAAAATAATAATTGAAGTCCTGAAATGACTACTGTGTTAGCTTTTTGTCTTATTAAAGCTGCATGTAGCAGCTGCAAATAATGATAGCTTGGATGAGTGCACTGTGCTTTCTCTTATGCAAAGTTGTTTTTTGGTTACTTTCAATGATCATCATATCCTGGAGAAGAGAAGGCTCCAGGGAGATTTTATAGCAGCTTTTTAGCGGGGAGAAGGAGGCCTAAAATAAAGTTGGAGAGGGACTTTATACAAGGGCATGTAGGGGTAGGGCAAAGGTAATGGCTTCAAGCTGAAAGAAGCATTAGCTTTTTTCAGAGGATTTTGGGGAGATTTAGCTTAGATACTGCAAAGAAATTCTTTACTATGAGGGTGGTGAGACGCTGGCACAGGTTGCCCAGAGAAGCTGTGGCTGCTCCGTCCTTGGCAGTGTTCAAAGCCAAGTTGGACAGGACTTTGACCGACCTGGTCTAGTGGAAGGTGTCCCTGCCCATGGCAGGGGATTGGAACTAGATCGTCTTTAAGGTCTCTTCCAGCTCAAACCATTCTATGATATCCGTGTTAACCATTTTACAACCTTGAAATCTGTGAAAAGTATTTGTGCTCTGTAGGAACTAGAAGGTCATTAGTTTCTTCTACAGTTACCAAGATTCACTGAATGAATGAAACTGGGTTAGACTGAAACTAAAAAGTGACCTAGAAACCTAGAACTGTGCATGCTGTTATCAGTACTTTGTACTTTAAAGTTTTACCACACATGAAGAGAGCAGGTAACTCTGTCCCATCTGTTACATTCTGTGCTGACAGCCCTCCGCTTTTATAGAGCTGCCAGATTTAATCTCCATTCAGACAGGCTCCCAGTTGTATTTGGCAAGGCATTTTAGTGCTGCTGAGATGAGCTCAGTAGAGCTTACAGAAGCTTAATTAACTGAGATAAATAGTAAATGTTGTGCAGTATGCTTTAAATATTTTTTAATGATAAGTAGGTATACTGGAAGAAAATAATAAGGAATCTGTTTTCTGTAGTCCATGTTAGATACAAGAAAAAATCCTTTAAGTAGTTTTAAAATCAGTTTGTCTGAACCAGTATTAAAACTTGCTGGAGCTGCAAAGTAGATTGTTCTGAACTTGTTTCTGTATAACATCACCTTATTTAATCATTGAATCAGGTAAACTGAACTGCAGTGCTATTCAGGAAAGCATAGTCAGGTCCAAAAACAGAATCCTGAAGCTTTGAGATTAAGATACTATTCCCTAAGCTGCAGTTAGTAAAGTATAAGACTAATGGAAACATGAAGTGCTTGATACAAGTGCTGTCCGTATAGCATCTGTAATGTTTTACTATTTCTAGTAAAAGTAGCTAAGAGTACTGTTAAGTCTTCCAGGAATCTGGAATAGAAGTTGGTGAAAAGAAATTAATGATGAAGTTAGAAAGGGAGCAGATTGAATTGTAGTGAAATATAAACAGAAACGGGTGACATCACCTGCTGGATCAAATATTGGGTAAGGATTTATTATGCTAGTATCAGACTCAGGCTGGCTAGCATATCTGATAATAAAGTGTTCTGACTAAAGCCAATTGGTTTTCGTACCATTAAACGGGGTAAGGTGTGGTTTCTTGAATTTATTAATTAAGGTAAAAATCTCATTAGTTCTGGAAACAATTGTGTAACATCCACAAATATTGCCACATGAATCCAGGTGATGTAAGAAGCTTGATGTTGAAGCGTTAGTGGGCAACGGTTCAGCTGAATAGTCATGTAGACATTTTTCTGAAAGAACTTGCAAGCAGCAAATTATTAATGCAGTATTGCATAGCTACAAGAAAGATGATTTATTCTCACCTTGCATAGTCTAGAAGAATTTTTTTTTTCCCAGTTATTAACAAATAAGATTTTAGTTAAACTCTCCCTACTACCCTCTCTACTTGGCACTTGTCATCCATTCAGAGCATACCTGTGCTTTGGCATTTAAAAACAGCAAAAGTAAATTGTGGTTACTCCACAAAAAACATGCAAAAAATGGAACCTGATAAAGTTGCAGATGTCTTGTCATTGCATGTTATTCTGTCTTTGTTGTCTTTGATGGTACAGGTATTCCAAGGCTAAAATATCACTTACTCTTTGTTGTGTAATTGTACCACAATTACGTAGTAATGTTGTCCTGATCCAGCTTCAGGGCATCTGATTACTAATGATTCTGTTTAATAAATATATAAACAGCAGCTATTACCTAATGTATGTAAAGTGATGTGTACATACAGCACCTATTAACCTGATGCTGCTCTGGTATTTGTCTTAAAAGCTAGGAGCAGTTGTTGAGCAATGAAAGTTACTAAATAAGATTACTTTGCTCCTGTTTTGATGGTTTATCTGTGCCTTACTGAGGTAATGAGCATGAGATTTTGTAGTTCAGATATGATCTGATGGTCTGTTTCCTGATGGAGAGTTGTATGTTGTGTAGACTGCTTCTTCAAATATGAATTTATTTTGATAGGATATTATCTACCAAATGATGATGGAGAATTTTACCAGTTCTGTTACGTGACCCATAAAGGAGAAATCCGTGGAGCAAGCACACCTTTCCAGTTTCGTACCTCTTCCCCTGTTGAAGAATTGTTGACTATGGAAGATGAAGGAAACTCTGATATGTTAGTGGTGACCACAAAAGCTGGACTTCTTGAGGTTTGATTCAACAATTCTTAAAATGTTCAACAATTCTTAAAATGTTTTCTTCTTTATTTTTTTTAATATATATATATATAAACACACACATACATTCACAGGTATTGAAGAACAAACCAAAATGAAAAAAACCTATGTATGTATGTGTAGTGTACATATTTCTGGCTTGTTCTCCAATATTTGATTGGACTTCAGAACATTTGCAGGTTAAATGAGTTCAGATTTAAAGGTGATTACAAGTATGGTATAGCACTAAGCAAAGACTGGGAAACCATAAGAGGATAGTTACCCATCTCTCACATCTGTGCTCTCCAACTAACTGGAGGAGTGAAGATACCCCTGTGAAACAGAGCCTGTTTTAAGGACAGATGTTACAGAACCTGTACACTTCTGTTTGTGCCTTGGAAACTAAGCTGAATAATTGCCTGTGTGAAGTATGTTAGAGTAGCTCTCGTTCTATTTAAAGCAGTGCTCTGTGTGTCGTGTTCTTTGCTAGATGGATGTGGTTAGACTTGTATGCTTACATCCAGAGTCAAGATGCTTCCATTTGATATTTTGTGGGCTGAAAACTGTTTAAACCCAAACAAACAAAAAAGCCTACCACCAAACCAACTTGATTGTATCAGTTGCGTATTGGAAAATCACTTAGTACAGTTTCCTTACCTTGCTGTCAGACCTTTTATCCTTTTGTCAGTTGTGTCTAGGTACATACAGGCATTTGATTTACAGTTTTCAAAATTTATGGATAAGAGACTTCGTACAGGTGTACGTCTGGGATATTTTTGCTTTTCAGGTGTGTACTCGTAGTACTAAAATGAGAGTCATTCAAGTGTTTTTGATTGTCTTGGTTCATAGAATTGCAGAGTGATTTGGGTCGGAAGGGACCTTCAAAGGTCATCAAGTCCAACCTCCCTTTAATAAGCAGGGACATTTTCAACTAGATCAGGTTGCTCAGAGCCCCTACCAACATGACCTTGTATGTTTCCAGGGGTGGGGCCTCTACCACCTCTCTGGGCAACCTGTGCCACTGTTTCACCACCCTCATTGTAAAAAATTTCTTTCTCATATCTAGTCTCAATCTCCCCTCTTTTTAGTTTAAAGCCATTACCCCATATTCTATGGCAGCAAGTCTTGCTAAGAAGTCTCTCCCCATCTTTCTTATAAGCCCTCTTTAAGTAGTGAAAGGTGGCAGATTATGTGCCGGTTCTTATTTTTGGCTATGTCTGCTCATTTTTTATTTTTATTTTTTTGTGAGATTCCTCAAACAGCACTTTAGAGTGTGTGTTTGTCTCTACACTCAGCAACCATTTTTTCACCAAGTTGTCATAATTATAATTAGCTCTTCCATAGTTGCTCTTGCTTGGGAACAGTAAAGGCACTTCACTTAAGGACCTAAAACCTGAGTATAAATTAAAACACAGCAAAGTGTGTTGTCTAATGGTAATGTAGTACTGTTCAGTTAAAGGAATGAAACTTCAAGAATATGGGAATAACAGGAAAAGAGTAAAATAACCTAGCCAGAGGACACACATTTTATACTTCTGCTCAAACACTGGAGTAAGTTGTTACCACTTAATGCATAGGAATGAAGGGGAGAAAAATTACCAAACCCCAATGTTTTTGTTTTTACAGTTTAAAATTGAAAAAATAATAAAAGAAAAGGAAGAGCTATTAAAGGTAACTTCTGTTCTGGAAAAGGAAACAGCACAACTCAGAGATCAAGTTGAAAGACTGGAAAAAGAACTTAACCATGAAAAGCAGAGATATGACCAACTGCAAACAGAGCAAAAGGTTAGTTGTTTAACTGATTAAAGCTGACTCATAATGTCTGTAATCCTCCTTTTTCAAGAACCAGTTAAACTGAAAATCGGCTGTCAAAACCTCTCAGTAGTTAGATAGACATTTACACTAGAATAGGTCAGTTCCTATTAACCTCCTGCCACTATTCCTTTTATGTCATAAAATGGTTAAAATATTTAAGGTTTTGGTACCAGGCTTGGTAAGATAATCCATGACAACTGTTACCAGATGTTTGACATTTAACTGTGGAATTCATAGTGGAAAGTAGTTGATAGTTTAAAGTTCACTTATCTTAACTTAAAATGGAGGACAGCTTTTCAAAAAACCTCCCATCAATGGTATTGAAAATGGTAAAAAATTCTGGTATTAAAAACAAAGTTCAAGGCTTATCAGAGAATACTACTGCCAGAGTATACCAAGAGAGAAAAGTAACTAGTCACGTCTCTGAAAGGCTTCGCAAGTTCTGAAGATTTTCAAAGGGGAAAGAACAAATGTAAAAATTCGTTTACAGTGTTAATTGATAGTGAAAATATAAATCTAGTCTAAACCAAAGCAAGCTTAATCTGCAACTCTACATATGGTAAGGAGGAAATCGAATATAAAAAAGGGCACAAAAAAGTTGGACCTAATCTATTTTTAAACTGCTGCTTTTTAAAAAACAACTTTTAGGAGAAGATTAAAAACATGTGGGAGGGAGGTGGTGACAAGGACAAATTTGAAGTAATGAAGCCTATATAATTTAGCTGTGGACAGCAGTTAATAGGCTATTTCTGAGTACTAGTATGTATATGTCAACAGTTCTGTGTGATACACCTTTAATAGGAATTTGTTGAGGGAATTTGAAACTGTCGAAACTTTTTGTAGTTTACTTTTGGGCAGTCATAGTGAAATTGACTACAAAGTTGGGTAAGGAAAAAAGAAAGGATAAGATCTTGTTTAGAAAAAAGTTTTTCCCATAAAAGATATTAATGCCAAGTACCTAGAACTAGCTTAAATCAATGAGACAAAAGTTATATACTTAAAAGCATACATTTCATGGATTTGCAGAATCATAAGCTTGGTGAATAAATCTGATTGAGCTACACAGATACTTTTCATTGTCACTAGAGGTTCTTAGTAAAAAATGTTTGAATTTGATGGATACAGTTAGACTGTATATGAACAAAAATGTCTTGATACCTTCTCACATTTTACTGTGGATTTCTATAATCAAAAATAGTTTTGCCTTTAAAATACTAGAATTTAGCAATTAGATTTCAATTTCAGGAATGTTTGGGGGTGTTTTGTTTGTTTTGGCCTTGTATTTTGTTGAAGTGATGATGCAGTGTGAAAAATTTCTCAGTTATACTTAGCAGAACTATATGTAGATACCTAATCTGAGGCTCTTGCAGATCTACATGTGTCTGGAATACTATAGAAGTTTTCTAGCTCATGCAATTATTTTTTGTCTCTTAAATTTTTGACACTGTCTTATTTTACATCGTTTATGTTGTTCTCTGTTCTTCACTTGTTTAAAAAAAGAAACCAATTTTCCGAGTTGAAAAAAATCTAGTTTGTTTATATGCATAAGTAGAATATAAATTGAGTGCTACTTTTGAAAATTAAACAAGCATTTACTAAATCAGGTGCAGTAAGTTGACTTTTTCATCATTGGAAAGTTCAGTAAACAATACTTTATTTGCGGCTTTCTCTAGTCTTTCCAGTCTTAAAGATCCCTTCTGTCTTCTTGCCTCCCTACCCCAATACATGAAATACAGCAGGAGGTCGAGGGATTATATGATTTATCTTTGCTGAGAACACATGCAGTGTGTTAATGGATTGATTGAAAGATTCCTGAGCAGCAGTTACGCAGTGCTCAGTTGCTGGATTACAGTACCAAGGTTTTATTTTCCTTGTGCTTATTTAGAAAAGAAACAAACGAAAACCCCCAAACAACACCTTCCCCTCACCCCGAACCAACCACCAGAACAAACTCTCCAAAACTACTCCCTGCAACCCCCCAGCTAATCTAGTCAGCTCGGTGTGATGTGAATAATTGTTATTGGCAATAAGCCTAAACAATGCATTAACTTGGATTTTTTTTTTTTATATTAGACTATAAGGGATAACCTTAAAATGCTAAGTAATTAATACATATATTTTTATTTTATGTAACATCTTACTATGAGCTAGGTTGATTTGGTTTGTCTTACTGGGTTTTGTTGTCTTTAAGTTCCAGAATGCTTATTTTAACTAAATATTTCTATGGGCTTTTATTTTCTTCTTTTATTTCTGCTCTTTTGTCACTAAACTTTTGATAAATAGATAAAAAGTGGAGTTGATGAATTTAAAATTTGTATTTAAAAAAAATATTTAACTTGGGTAAAGGTTTAACTATTTGGAGGTATATTTTAAAAAAATAAATCTTTCAATATATTTTAGAGCATATTAGGCTAAAGAAAAAGCAGTAAAACAGAATAGCCCATGTAAGAAAATATGATTATTGTAAACACTATATATCGTTACCTTTGTAGTTTGAGGAAGTTGTAAGTGATAGCAATCTTTATTTCTGTCAAAGATAATGCTAAGCTACATTTAACCTATGAACAATCTCTTAATAACGTACTAATTTTTTTTCCTTTTTGCAAGTACTTCCATCATGAAGTGCACAGGAAAGAGCCCTCTAAAACTATAATATTACAAAGTACTGTATTTAAAAAGCAGCAATTGTATGAGCAAAGGAAGTGTATATGTCTGTACAGACACATGCATTTGATTCTCATGGGGTGCAGAGCTTCTTACGCTGCTAATATACTAGCAACTACTATTTGGTTATTACCATTTGTATTATGGTAAGGGGGCGGGGAAGTTACGAACCCCTTCATACAAAATGCTCATCAATCTGCCCCTTTTCTAAAAATCTTCCACAGTTTCTTTGCAGCAAATAGTACAGGTATCTGAGCTCATGTCTTTATCTTTTGATCAGATACATTATTAAGCTAACTCGTATTTTTATAATAGAACTGAACAGAATGTTGATGGTGTGGTTAGGGGTCATAGTACTTTGGTTATCTTATTGTGTAGTATAACAAATAGCAGGTAGATTAATTCTGAGTTCATGATACGAAAATGTTTTGTTAAAACATAGTTCCTTAAAATCCCCTTTATATTGATGTTTATTCCTGTGCCTTTAGGCTATGTTCATCTTCTTTGTATTGATTTTTATCAGTCCTTTGTTTTCATAAGTAGCTCGGGGGTTGTTTGGAGAAATGTCTGTAGAAACATGGATTTCTTAATATAGACAGGATAGTTGTAGACAGTGTCACAGCTATATCCCAATTAGTCTTTCCCTCCCACTCTTGATTATTTGATATCTCTTCCCTACCTAGTTACTCTCATAGAATTCTGGGCAGTGGAACTATTGTCTTTGTCTGCTTTTTGCCTAGTTGGGATGTTTTGTAAGTGGTCCTTTAGATGCTCTTTGGGAAAAATATTAGGAAAATATTGTTCTACTTTTAGCTTTTCTCTTAAAAATACAACAATCTATTAAAAAAAATCTGTAATTTTAATTTGTATTCAATGCATAAATGATTCTGCAGACATAGTTTTATCAGGTTGTCATCACCATCACAGAAAAGAGTATATGCAAGACACACAGCTCTGTGCTGGTCAGTGTTTGTGCTCAGATGGAATGTGCTCTCCAGCCCCACTGTTCCTAGTGCACGCTCATATACTATAGTTATTGCCATTAACTTGTGTTAATTACCCCACCCTGGCAAAGCATGAGATACTGTAGAACTTGGGACAAATATTTATTTTAGCTTAATCTTTCCTCATAGCCAGTGGCTGCTTAATGCAGGATGTAGTTGTTCAGAGAAGATCATGTTAGGGAGGGGATAAGTAAATCTTTCCCATTCTCCTGCTCTCCAACATACACACTCTTTTTATTCTTCTGAAAAGGTCTCTATTTTCAGTTGCAGGAAAACAGTTGCAATATTCATCTGTAGCATTTTTCAACCCTGTTGAACCATTCCTAGATTTTTTTTTCCCTTCCCAGATGACACTGAATTAGCTCTCACGTACTGTGGAGGTTTAACTTAATCTGCCACTACTCAGTGTAGGAATTCAGAGTAAATGTGAAATTACTAGAAATATTTCAGAAATGTCACATCTTTTTCTTACAAACTTCTGTTTAGTGTTTCAGAGTTAATTTGTTTTAACTAGGGTGATGTTGCCTGGTAGCATGCTTTTAGAGTCATGCTGTACATACAGGTTGCAACTCTACTAATACAACTGTTAAAATAATGATGTAATTACTCACCATGATTATTTTACTTAAGAAGGTGACAGATTGTACATGATCACCAGAATTGTTTCAAGTTGTTTTCAACATTTCAACTTTTTGTTTGGTTTCCTACTGAGATAATGGTACATACTCAAGTATGTTGAATCACATTAGTAAACTGCTTTTATCTGAATATATTTTATTTTTTAAAAAATTACAGAACATCAACTAAAAAAACCTTAGTCTGTTTTTATCTAGAAAATAATAATACAAATACTTTCAGTCACATCTTGTAAATTACAAATCTAAAAATATATACCTTGGGGATGCGGTTTAGTGGTGGACTTGGCCATGATAAGTTAACGGTTGGACTTGATCTTAAAGGTCTTTTCCAACTTAAATGATTCTGTGATTCTATGAAATAAAAAGAACTCATACTTTCGCGTTCCCAGTTTTGCATGTGCTTAAACTGTGTGTAAGCTCTCTGGCAGCAGCACACTTGCCTACTGCTTTAAGATACAATATTACTGTGCTGAACAAGAGAACTACTGTTATTGTTATTGTGTCAGTCTTTCATCAGTTGCTCCTTTGACACTCTGCAACCATTCAGTTTCGTGAACACAGGTCTTGTAGGTTTCTGTAGAGAGCAGAGCTTGCAAATGATGCTTTTGCAATCATTTGTCTCCCTCTAGTGGGATGAGAGCACTTCTGAACTGATTTCTTTAAT